TACGTACGTACTACTACGTACTACTACTACTACTACTACTACTACGTACTACTACTACTACTACTACTACTACTACTACTACTCTACTACTCTACTCTACTCTCTCTCTCTCTCTCTCTCTCTCTCTCTCTCTCTCTCTCTCTCTCTCTCTCTCTCTCTCTCTCTCTCTCTCTCTCTCTCTCTCTCTCTCTCTCTCCTGGTTGCAACCTAATGCAAACCACACTAGAATAAAGACTTTACATTGTTCTTAATAAAATAAACAAAAATGTTTATATAAGGTTGACACCTTGAAATATAGAATTAAAGTGCACCTCTAAAATCATTCAAAAAAGATTGTTTTGGCGTTGAAAAAATATCTAACTGATCATTTTAACATCAAGATATATAGATATGGGGAAGAAAATAAATTTCAAGTCCTAAAAATAGTACATCTTACAACACATTATATGAACTGTCTATTTGGAAGATTTTCATGTGTTTATAGATCTCTTTGATTTGAACCAGTTTTTAAATTTAAAATTTTATAATTTAAAATAAAAATAGATTCTCGCGCCATCCTAAGAATTTTCAACACCAAAATTACGTCTCATAACAAAGTTTGAAGGTGCACCTTACTTTGATTATTTATCACTGTACCTATAATAAAACTTCATATACCAACAAATAATTAATCTTATGCTCAAGGAAGCTCCCCAAGTTGCCCCAGCCCCTCACACATATACACACAATACACACAAACACATCCCACTTTTTCAAAGATTTTTCCTAGAATCGACTCTAACCTATGTTGCAAGAAAAAGAGCAACTAGGTTCCTTTCCAACAAAGCAAAACCTCCCAATACCTTTAAAAGTTTCTACATCCCAAGGTAATGTATCATTAATGAGCATGACCCACCTCTTAGAGCCTTTATGGCCTGGAATCACCCTTTTTATCATCTTTAACGCCATATATTACAATTGTTTTCCCATTCTTTTGAAGTGGAATTCTCCTTAGCCCAAGACGCAAGATATCCATATTCCAAGTGCCTAAAGTGCTCATATATATACTTTGATCAGGAAGCCAAGGTATCCTCATTTTCCCAAAAGGAAGAATAAATCATAAAGCAAAATGTTCATCCCACCAAACTTATATAACCATGCTTGGAGAAGCCTACAACAGGCCACAACCCCTCTCTCTCTCTCTCTCTCTCTCTCTCTCTCTC